TTTTTTTTGGAGAGATTTTCACTGTAGGGCGCGTGCGCTCGCCAGACAGACAGAGAGAGACATAGAGACAGAAAGCGAGAAATCACCCCCCAGGGGGGATGGTCACGCCGCAATCCCTTCTCCTCCATTCTCCTCTCGGGATCTTGGGCACGCACGCACACGCGCCCGGCGTGAGTTTTAAGCCACCGGGTCCGGGACTCGAACCGCGGTCGACTACGTGGGAGTCCAGCGACATAGCCATTACACTAACTGCTGGTTCCCTGTTTGAGCTTTTTGATTTGGAGTAAGTTCATTTTACGTGCTTTTAAGTAAATTTATACAACATTTTATAATCTTGTTGAAAATAATCCTGTGTATCTAGAATAAGCTGCCTGGAAGCATGTTCGTTTTCTGTTACTATTTATATGGGAAAAAAGAACCTTAGTAGCGAAAAGGCAGGGAAGATCCGTACAGTGTAGTCACAGTCCGAGTTGTTGGCTGATGTTCTGCCTGGGCGTTGGTGGCGCTGCTCTGGGGGGCGCAAGCTGACCGTTCTGGGTGGGGGTGTGTTGGTGTCTCCCTACCACGACTGCTGGCACACCTGGGGGTCTCTTCCCGCCTGCTGCCGGTGCAGGGCTGCTGTCGCTGGAAAGACCAAGGGCGGGCTGCCAGGGAGGTGGAGGTGGCACCGTCTTGTCCTGCTGCATACCCGGTCCATGGTCCCTCTGTCTGTCCCACTGGCTTGCTTTGTTTTCTTTTTCTGTTTTTGCCACTTGCCGAAGAGAGACAGAGAGGGAAGTGAGAAATCCCCTGCCCACAGGAGTACGGCCGTGCTTCCGTGCCTTCTTCTCCACGCTCCTCTTAGGATTTTGGGCATACACACATATGCCCTGTATGATTTTCAGGCCACCGGGTCTGGGACTCAAACTGTAGTCAGCCATGTGCGAGTCCAGCACCTTAATCACCATGCCAGCAGGTAGAGGGTGCATGCACTCACCAGAAAAGAAAGAAAGAAAGAGAAAGAAAATGAGAAATCACGCCCTGGGGGATGGCCACGCCACAGTCCCTTCTCCTCTCCTCTCCTGTAAGGATTTTGGGCACACATGCACATGCGCCCAGCGTAATTTTCCAGCTTCTGGGCCTGGGACTTGAACCACGCAGTCGGCCATGTGGGAAATGGCCACGGTAACCTACGTGCCACCTGCTGGACCACGGTCTCTGTCTTTTTCCTTTTCTTTAGAGGTTTTTGCCTTAGGGTGTGTGTGCTTTCACCCCTGACGTTTTAACTCCAGGTTTTCTTTGCCAGGTGGCTTCCCTAGCCCTGTTGTCCTTTCAGCCTTGAAACGTTGTCACTTGGGTGTGTGTGTGTGTGTGGCAGCCACCGCCTCAGTGAGTGACCACCGCACTCTGGCTTTGCTCTCATGGGACGTGTGGCTGTGGAGGCTGCAGGAAAGTGCTGCTGCGTGGCCACGCCCTGCCCTCCCCACCCACTGTGTGCTCAGTGCTGAGGGAGGGAGCATCCCTCCAGGTCCTCCGTGGCAAGACAGGGCCGGCAGATAGCATGGCAGTCATGTCATTGGACTCCGACATGACCGACGGTGGTTCAAGTCCCAGACCCAGTGGCTTGCAAATCATACCAGGTGCATGTGTGTGTGCCCAAGCCCCCAGAGAGAGAATGGAGGAGAAGGCATTGTGGCGTGGCCATGCCCCCTCTTTCTTTCTCACTGTCTCTGTCTCTCTCTCTCTCCAGTGAGCACACACACCCTAAGGCAAAAACCTCTAAAGAAAAAGAAAAAGACAGAGACCGTGGTCCAGCAGGTGGCACGTAGGCTAAGGCAGCCGGATCCCACATGACCGACTGCGTGGTTCAAGTCCCAGGCCCAGAAGCTGGAAAATTACGCTGGGCACATGTGCATGTGTGCCCAAAATCCTTACAGGAGAGGAGAGGAGAAGGCGTTGTTGTGCGGCCATCCCCCAGGGCGTGATTTCTCATTTTCTTTCTCTCTGTCTTCTCTGGTGAGTGAGTGCATGCACCCTATAGCAAACTATGTTTTAAAAAGTCATATTTTAATTTTTAATACTTTTTAAAACTCTAATATGAATTGCCTAACGTGCTTTACGACAGCTTAGTTGTCTATTTGAGATCAATGAATTGGGACAATTGGCATAGCTTTTCAGAAAATTTCATTTTAGTGTGACTTTTGTTTTGTTTTTTTTTTTTTGGGAGAGGTTTTTGCTATAGGGCGCGTGCGCTCGCCAGACAGACAGAGAGAGACAGAGAGATAGAAAGCAGGAAATCACCCCCCAGGGGGGATGGCCACGCCGCAATCCCTTCTCCTCCATTCTCCTCTCGGGATCTTGGGCACG